GATGTGGTTTGTGTGACCTATACCTTTGTGTGAGCATCCCAGATCAGGTGGCATAGTAGGCAGTAGGGATACTTTTGGAAGCCATTTCCACACAGGAACAGCAAACAATAACAACTCTGCATGGAAGCTAATGCAAGCCATACAAATCTGTCCCACTAAACCTACAATTAATGTGTCTCCAACCCACCTTAGCCAGATCTCACAAATATCCTTGTCTGCTCCAGTGCCACCTGACACAAGGGGAAAAGTGTGACAGGAAAGTCTGAAGGGAAAGACACAGTGGTCTTAACCAACTGGGGTTAAAAAAATATCTTCTACAAATTTTACAAAAACACAGGACTGTGTGAACACACGGCTGGGGCCCCTCCAGAGCCTTGGCCAGGGCCTGTGGGAAGGAAGGGCCCTAAAGCCTCATCTTGCTTAGGGATATGGTAAATGTGGCTTTGGTGTGGGCGCTGGCTGCACTGGGACACCCAGAAGTTGGGTCATTTTCCCCAGCTCTCCTTCCCTTGCACTTGGCTTTGTAAAGTTTACCTTTGCATGTCTTGGACATAGTTCCATATTAGGACAAAGAGAGGAGCCTAATTCTACCCTCCACTTTTTTTCAATGATAGTATTCCAACATATGAACACCTACATTTAGATTATTTCAATCTGCCATAACAGTGCTGCAAAGCAGCATATCCTTGATCAAGGGTTTTTTTTTTTTAATTTTTAATAGGAGTTTATTTGAGCCAAACTGATGACATATGCCAGGGAACAAGATCTCAATGCTCCCACTCATTTTTTTTTAAAAAACATTTGTGAGAATATATTTGTAAAATACTTTCTTAGAGTGTGATTGCTGGGTCTCAGAGTAGATCCGGTTAAACTTTTAGTGGATATTGCCAGTTGTAGTCCTTGAAGGCATGCCAGAAGGGTGTGAGAGTGGTCAGCACTGTGTGTTAGCAAACATTGCTGACTCTTGTCACTCTTTAGATGAAAAATGCTTTTAATTTGCATTTCTCTTATTAAGGGTGAAGGGAAAGATCTTTTCAAATATTTAAGAACCAGTTATATTTCCTTTTTTGTGGACTGTTTACGTCCTTTATCCATTTTTCTATTATGTTAGTTTTTTTCTTATTGATTTGTAAGAGCTGTTTAAATATTAAGGAAATTAGCTGTTGGTCTGTGATATAAGCGGCAAAAATATTTCGCCAGCTTTTCATTTGTCGGTTGACTCTGTTTATGATGTTTATTTTCCCATGGGGAAAAATTCTATATTTATGTAACTGGATGTAGTAAGTAATGACTTCTGATATGGGGTCATCCTTAGAATGGCCTTTCTCTCCCCATATAATAATGAAAAAAGTTCTCTATGGTTTGTTATAATATTTTTATGATTTCATTTTTAACATTTAAATTTTTAATCCTTCAGGAATTTGTTTTGGTGTAGTGGGTGAGGTGTGGCTATTTCATTTTATCTCAGAAGGCTACCCCATTGTCCCAAGATCATTTATTAAAAATACATCTCGTCTCCACTGACTGAAAGGCTATCTTTGTCACATACTAAATTTCAGTATGTAATTGCTCTGTTTGTCTATATTTTTGGTCTGTTGCACTGAATAGTGTGTCCATTCGTGTACCAGTTGCTTATAGCAGCCTTATATGCTTTGGTTTTGGACTTCCAGCTTCCAAAACTGTGAGAGAATGCATTTCTGTTGTTTTAAGCCACCCAGTTTGTGGTAACTTGTAACAGTAGCCGTAGGAAACGGATACAGTGACAGAGTTGAGATTTGAACCCAAGCCTTTGATTGGAATTCCTGTTTTCTGAATGAAGGTGCAGGGATAGTCAGCCCTGTTCGTGAGAGTGTTTGTTGGTGTGGGGGAAAGAGTAGAAGAAATTCATATAATGCCAATTTCCTCGGGCCGCATCAATCTGTGGGTATTAAGGGACAAAGGGGTATGCTGACCACTCTGTGTCCCTTCAGTTCTCCTCTTCACTCTTCTCCACCCTACTCTGTACATCCACGAGGCTGACCGCCGTGGTCTGCCCTGACTTCCTTCCTTGCCCTTTGCCTTTTGATCAGGTGTGGCCAATGCTAGGCACTGGTGGGAAATTGGAAGGTGGCCCTCTCCACGCTGGGCCACAGCTTGTCAGTGACTGTGCGTCTTCACCTTAGGCCACCGGTGGCCTTCTAAATCTCCAGTTCTGGCCCATTGGTTGGTTCCAGTGACCACTTCTTCCCTTTTCCCTTTCAGGCCTACAGGTGGTAACAGCTTCTCCCATACTAGCCCTAGAGTACTGCACCAGTCTCTTCTTGGTTTTCCTTAACCCTACCTACATCCTCATAAAAGATCTATTCTTTAAACTTCCATCAGCCATCCCTTTTGAGAGGAGCATGTGTTTCCCGACCAACATGGGGGATCCACCACTGTCCCCTCCCCCCCTCCCCCCCACCAGAGTAACTCCAGTTTCCCAGGGTCTTGCCTCTATCTGCTCATTTGGAATACCTTAAGTCATTGCCTCTGGGAAGGCACTTCTGCTCCGATGGAAGCCTCCTGGAAGACAAGCTGCTCAGGGACTCTGGGTTACTCTATACAAAGGTCCCAAGCAGGCTGCCTGGGTCCCAGGGCTCCCCACCCCCATCCCCAGGAACTGGGCTAGTCATGGTCTGGGCTAGGCAGGGAGGTCTTCTGGTGACATAACTGCCTCTCCCTCTGGAGCCTGGGAGGGATAAGATCTATTACTGTCAGGCTACAGGACAGGCCCCTCCTTTAATCACGATGAGCTTTCTCCTGGAGGCTTCTTATTCCTTATGCAAACAGGCTCCTGGCAGGGCAAGCTACCCCTGCTGCCAGACATGCCTAGACATATCTATTTCTACTTAGACTTGAGCTGGGATCCTTCAATACCAGGTTGGGAAGGTAGATTTGGGTCAGGGTGAGGGAGGCCTCCAACACAATCGAACAAGTTTTATTTAACCTAATGTGGCAGGCAAGGAATTGCTAAATGAATTCGAGCTTGGTAGAAACTTGGATCAAAAATTGTTAAGAGCATAGTGCGTTGCCATCTCAGTGCCCAGGTGCCTGCTCTCCCTCTACCTCAAACATCACCTCAGAGAGGCCCCATCAGGGCACCCTCCACCACCACACCTTGTTTTATTTTCAGCAGAGTTTGTATCATTCCCTGAAATTGCAGCTGTTTTCTTCTTTCTTCGCCTGTTCTGTGAGGGCAGGGAGATATCTTAGTCAATGCTATACTCCCAGAGCCTGGCTGGCTCCTAACGAGGTACTCCATGAATAAGTGTTGAATTTGTTGAACAAGTGAACGAATTTGGCTCAATGAATGAGTTTAGATGGGGAAGGCCAGAAAGGTCAAGAGACTTAACTATTTGATTAAGAGTGCACAAGTCATCGCTGGCAAAGCTAGGACTAGATCCAGGATATCTAACTAAACCCACTACATCCAGGTGGAGAGGCAGGAGGCGGGGAAGAGTTTAGCAAGAAGGGTAAGGAGAGCCTGATCTAGGAGCGAGGGTGGTGGCATCTCAGTGGCAGTGAGATGCCAAAGGATAGGAAAGATGGAATCTCTGGGAAAGTATGATGACATAGTGGCCTGAGCTGAGGTGGTAGAGAAGAGATAAGATCTAAGACGGGAAAATTACAATGTATTGGGTATCTACTCTTTGCCAGGCAATGTGCCAGGTGTGGTACCTGTACCTGTGTGGTCTGACTTACAACCAGTACTGTAGGTATTATTATCCTCATTTTTATGAGCAAAGGAAATGAAGGCACAAGAGTTTCAATCAATTACCCTCTTTTACCCGTTTATCAAACACCTGACTGCTGAGCTTGACCTCTTCCCACCCTCCACATGGTCTCTTTGAAAATAGGACTAAAGCTGAGAGCTTTTCTTCAAGATGCCACTGTGCTTGAGGTCCACAGTCAGTAGGAAGAGGGCAACAAGAGGCAAGTATTTATTAGTGGGGAGCAGAGGCACGTGGCTCTCACTTTGCTTCAGAGGAGAAACTGAAGCACAATAAGGCAGGAGCTTTGATCCAGGGAGAGCAGTTAGAGGTAGTAAGAGTGGAGACAGACAAGTTCACCCTGCAAGTCTTCTGCTTCAAGGTGCTGTAGAGGGGCTGGTCAAGAACTTGACACCGACTGAGCAGAAGGCCTGGAGCCAGAGGTGACACAGATCACCTTTTCCTTATCTGGATTCCAGTCTAGGGAGAAGCAGCAGAAGCGAGGTAAGACTGGTTGGGTTGAGTTCCGTCCAGGCTAGGGGTGGTGTGAGCCCATTCCCCGTCCCTTAGTTGGGCCCCTTCCTTGCAGTAGGGCACTCCTGGCCCTTGCCTGTAGGTACACAAACACACAATGGCCCCTCAGCCCAGATGTTCCAGGGCAGCCTTAATTTAAAGTCCACCGCCCTTTGTCCCCATAGGTACACTTGCATTTATCAGACTGTGGCTCTGGGTTTTGGTTCAGAAAATAAAGGTCGTTGAGTCCCAGGACACAGATTGTGCCCTCCACAGAGCCAGGTTCTGTTCAGGCCACAGCGCTGCATAAGGTGTTCTTTGTGCTGGGGACGCCTCTAGGGTCTGGTGTTGGAGGTGGCCCCCAGCCCAGGGCTAGTCCCTGACCACTGATGCCAAGCAGCTGGCTGTAGGTCAAGGGTTGAGGGAACCCTCAGAGGCTGTATTACCCACCAGACCCTCATCCCATCCTCCCCTCAGGACATAACTCAAACTTGCTAAAAAGGGCTTTCATAAACAACACAAGTCTGAAAACTCGGGCGGGGAGGCCCCTCCAGCCCTGGGGGCTTCAGGAGGGTCTGGGCTGCCTGCCAGCTCCAGGCTGTCCCCAGACTTGGGGGGAGGGGTGGGGAGGCGGTGCTGTTACCCTCTCCTTCCTGCTCGGTTTCCAGCCCAGAGTTTCCTCAGGCCCCGGCCTCCTGGGCTCCCCACCCTGCTCTCCCTTAACCCTTTCCTCGAGGGAAGGAGTAGCACAGGTCCCCGTTCTCCACGGAGGCCTGGGAGGCGGCTGGGTAGGAGGGAGGAACGGTAGGGTCCCTGAAACCAAGACCCCTTTCCCCAACCCGAGTGCCTCTCCTTCCCTTTCCTCTTCCTTCCACTAGGGAAAGGGGAACGTGGAAGGAAATTAACTTTGACCCCTGGATTCTGGCTCTGGGCCCAAAACTTGGGTGGATGGCAGAGGTTTCCAGGACCCTCCCCCCGCCCCGCTCCCCCTCCCCTCCGCCTTCCTCGCCCCGTTAAGCTGCCCAGCAGACTGAGAAGGAGTTCATCCTGGAGGGGCTGGCGGAGTGGTGAACGGGGAAGACTGGGGGCGGCGGGAAGGGCAGCGGGAGCCCGACCGGTCCCACCCCCAGCTGCAACCCCTGGCAGGAAGAGATCGTCCCGGGAGCCGCCGCCGAAAGGGACGGAGCTCCGGAGGGCGGGCGCCCGAGCGGTGGCGGGTGGGTCCGCGAGCCCGCAGGACCTAGGCCCAGGCTGGGGGCGCGCCTCAGGGAGCAGGGGGCGTGGCCTGGGCTCCTTGGGCGGGGGGCTGGGGTGCCTCCGGCTCTGGGACCCCGGTGACACTTTGGGCTCCCTCATTCCAGGGGCGGGCGGGGGCAGCCATGCTCCTGTCCGGGGGCGACCCTCCAGCGCAGGAATGGGTCATGGTGCAGACCAAATCGAAGCCCCGGGTGCAGCGGCAGAGGCTGCAAGTGCAGCGCATCTTCAGGGTCAAACTGAACGCCTTCCAGAGCCGCCCGGACACCCCCTACTTCTGGCTGCAGCTCGAGGGGCCCAGGGAGAACCTGGGCAAAGCCAAGGTAAACAGCTTCTTTCCACCCCGACTCATCTCACCCTGCCAGACCCCTCTCCCGCTCCCCTACCCCCGGGGAGACAGGGGACCCCAGAGGTTCCTCGACCTGGATTCGGCAGTATGGCGGGCAGGTACTGGGCCATCCTCCCGCCTTTCAAGATTTGCAGCCTTGGTTTCTTCCCTTTGATTCCTTCTTTCTTTTCTGCCCCACCCCTCACTTGCGTGTCACTTCTGTTCTTCAAGTGCCTTGAGAGAGGCTCCGCAGAGTGTGTACCCCTACGAGCCTTCCCTGGTCAGGACCCCAGCACCCACAGCTCCCCTCCTCCATCTGGGGAGCAACTTAAGGTCCTGCATTTCTATGGCCTCTGCAACACACCTCTTTGTTCTCCACCAAGACAATCCTTCTGTCTCCTTTTAAGTCTCCTTAAATCCGGGGCTGTCCTTTGCAGCCTCTTAGGGTGCGGGCACAGGAGGGGCCCTTAGAGATGCTACTAAAACAATGCTGGCATTTTACAGATGAGGTCTCGGGGATTGGAGAGGGTAAGGGGCTTGCCTGAGTGCTCAGGGTCAGGATGGTGGGGATGGTGGGGGCTGGGACTAGAACCCAGAGCTCTGGGCTCCCTGCCTCACACTTTTGATGCCTTAGACAGCCTCTTGCAGTGTTCAGGGGTGGGGGTGCAGCTGCTCTGGAAGGCACCAGCCCTTGGGGATGGGTGGGAATCTGAAAGGAGGGCTGTGGGCTTTCAGATGAAAGGGCTTGCTGTATGGGGTTGGGCACTAGATAGGCCAGGTCACAGTGTGTGCCTCTTGTATTCTCCCTGGCTTCTCTCACAAGCTCCTTCCACTTGCGCCTCTCAGGTTTTCTCTGACCCCCAATCATGGCCAAGGTCTCCCTCTTCCCTCAGATTCCCTTATCTTATCTTTTCCTGGTAGGAATGCTACTGCCTCCCTCTGCCCCAGACCACCCCAACACACCTTCACCAGCTGGGTCTATACCAATATACTAATTGGTCAAGGCCATGGGTGGGGGAGGCCCAGAGCATACTGGCCAGCGGGCAGGCAGGCTGGAAAGTTCCTCCCTCAGCCCCTCTGTTGAGCTGCTGCGTCAGCAGTTTTTCCAATTCTGACAGAGGTGCTGGGGGAAGGGAGGGGTGTCTGCCCTAAGAACAGATGTGCAGGAGCCCCTGAGATGAAAACTTCTCGGTAGCTGGGATAAGATGGGTTAACAAGAGAAGTCTTTTGGGTTGTTTTGGGTTCTTAAATCATTTTGTGATTTTGAAATACGGCAGCTCACCATTTTATGGGACTTGTCCTTTCTGAGGTGCCCAGCTCCCCTGCCCCCTGCTTAAATCCTGGACGGGCTTCTCCAGGCCTGTGTGCTCCTGCTCCCACTGCGTCCTGAAGGGTCCCTCCCTTATACCCCAGGCCCTGCTAATGTAACCTGTCGCTTCCTCAATTCCCTCACCCTGTCACCTCCTCCTTTGTCTTCCCCTGGGGAAAGGCACTGTTGAAGATGCAAACATAGCATAAGGACATTCTAAGCAACTCCCTCCCTTATTTCACAGTGAGCAGAAGAAGAGATGGTTGGAGGTTTGGAGCAAGAGGGCAGGGAAGGTGGGGAGTATAAGGCTTTGTCCTAGGAGTTAAGAGATCTGGCCTTAATTTGCTATCACCAAATTACACTGTGACAGAGGATATGGTGGGAGAGTTTGAGATTGAGGTTTGCTACCTTCTAACTGGGTGACCTGGGTCAAATTATTTACCTTCCCTTGAGCCTATTTTCTCATCTATAAAATAATATAATACCACCCACCTCGTGAAGGGCGTTCTGAGTGTCACCTGCAATTATACATGCTTAAATACTTTTGCAAAATGTGGAGAGGTATAGAGTACAGATGTCAGTTATTATTGTGGTTAAGTAGCGGTGTAACTTTGAGGGAGTCCTTTTCCCTCTCTGAGTCTTGGTCTCTTTGTTTGTAAAGTGAGAAGCTTGGATGAAATGCTCCCTAAGGTCCAGTGACCTGATACTGGAAAATTTCCCAAGTATAAGGATGTCTTGTGGTTTCCATGTGGAGGTGCTGTGCCTGACCCCAATCTCAGCTGTAGGGACACAGAATCATGCACTTTGATAATGGCCTAGTACACACAGGCCAACTGGCAGCAAGAACTCAGTGAGACTAGAGGTTGCAGGGCAAGGAAGGGGTGAGAATGGGGGTGGCTTGTTGGTGAGGAGAGGAAGAGTCTGGAAGGGTACGGGCTCATTTGGAGAAGGGTCTGGGTGTGTTCATACATCACATGTGGCTGGTTTTCCAGGAAAATCTCTGTAGAATTCAAGGGTGCCTTTACATTATTTTCTTGTGGTGGGATTTAAAAAACAGTGAAGACATTGCTGGAATCACGTTCCCACGCAGCAAAAACAAACACTTGGGGAGGCCTGACTTCTGAGGTGAAATCAGTTAGTGCTCCACACTAACTGTGAGCGGTACCATGGAAGTTGGTCATGGCCAGAGGTATGCTGGAAGTGGCTGCTACTGACCTACTGTTAAAATTTCAGGAAGTTTGCAAGCCCGTGGAGTCCCACTGGTAGTTTGAAATCAGCCATGGTGGGAGTATTTACATCATTTGTAGCATTGGCAAATGCTACAAATCGGGGGCTAATCCCCCAACCAGCTGACTGTTAAACACTTACCAGCATACCAAATTGTGTTGTGGGCACCTAACCCTTCTCCTTTTTTTTTTTTTTAACTTAATTTTTCTTTTAGCAAAGTAATTCACAATTTAAAAGTCCAATAATTTTGAAAAGTTCACACTAGAACAGTGATTCCCTGCCTTGTTCTTTTCATCTCTCTCTTAAGAGCCCTTCCTTGTAGACAATGGTCGCTCTGGCATTTATACATCTTCACATTTCCCCCCCAAATTTTAGATGTGGCTATTTTTTGATTAATCAATTTTAGATATATTATTTTTGCTTCCTATTTTTGTAGGTGAGGATTTAACTTCCTTACATTGCCATCCCTTCTTTATTTTTAATATAGTTATTTTTCAATTTTCTGTTAAATCTATATTTAGTATTTGCATCGTTATATCTATACAAATATCATTAACATCTAAACATTGAAGTGTACTATGATTATGTTTTTTTCCTTTTCTATTTCATTGAGGTTAAGAACTCCTTGTTTTTCAATATGCTTGTTTTTCTTTGTACCTATTGCCAACTCTTACAACTTTCAGCGGCCTCTCACTATAATTTTCTACAAGGTCAATCTGTCGGTTCAAGGTGTTCTTTCAGTTCCAAATTTTTTCTTGGTGACATCCTTTCTTCTGTCTGATTCAGCCTGCATAGCTGTCATCCTGAGACTTCTGTTTGCTGTAATTCTTGGCCTCTCTTTGCCTTTTTTCTTTGTTAGATGTCTTGTTTCCTGGACCAAATATCTTTCTCTTTCTTGGGTGGGTGGAGCACATCCATCAGTAGCTTCATCAAGTTATAGAAAGATGGTGCAGTGCTAAACAGTGTGCTGATGACTGCTCTCAATGTGCTTGAGTCCTTCTTTCCAATCAGAACTAGTTGTCTTCTATGTCTGCTGATAGTCGTCATCCTAGAACAGTGCCTGACACATAGTAGGTACTCAATAATGATTTGTTGAGTAAATTCTGAGATTTCTCTTTATTATCATCCCAGAGATTCCTTTTACTTTTTTTTCTGTGTTGGTCTCCTTTCTTGATTTGCTGGAAAATACTCTCCAGGAGCTTCTTGAAAAAGGTTTTATAGGAGGTAAAATGTTGGGATTGCATATCTGAAGTTCACTTGATTGATAGGCTGGTATCAAATTATAAAAGGAAAATTACAGTAATATCTTGGTTTGTGAGCATAGTTCGTTCCAGAAACAAACTATTCGTGTTGTAAGACATCGCTCCTTTACCACGTTAAAATGTATTAGAAAGAAATGTTTGCTTGTCTTACGGAACACTCGCAAACCAAGTTACTCGCAATCCAAGGTTTTACTGTATTTCCCTTCAGAAGTGTAAAGGCATTACTCCATTGACTTATTGCTTTTTAGATGTCTGAAGCTATTCTAGTTTCTGGTCCTTTGTGTGTGAGGTTTTTTTCTTTCTGGAAGTTCGTAGTTTTCCCCAATGTTCTGAGGTTTCTCAGTGAGACCCCATTATGTGGATCTCTCTTTATCCATCATTGGTTACTACTGTACTCAGTGGGTCCTTCTATAGACAGACACTCATGTTCTTCAGATCTAGGGCATTTTCTGGAAATATTTAGCTAATGATTTTCTCCCCTGTGTTTTCTGTGTTTTCTCTGGAACTCCTATTCAGACATTGGATTTTCTGGACTGACTGGTTCACTTTTCTTATTTTTTCTCCTGTTTTCCAATTCTGACTTTTTGCTTTGCTTTCTGGAGATTTCCTTAACATTATCTTCCAATCTTTTTCTTGGGTCTTTCATTTCTGCCATCAGAAATAAAATGACTTTTAATATCTAAAAGTCATTTATGTTTTCTCTGAATTCTCTTTTTAAAAATAGTGTCTTATTCTCATTCAGTTTGTACAGTATTTTCTGTTATCTCTCTGAAGAGAGTAATGATAGTAAACTGTTTGACTTTCTCTTCCTTCAAGTTTTTCCCCACCCCTTTCCGTATGTTTTCTGTATGCTTACCTCACATTAGAAGTTTTCTTCATATGTCTGGTAATAGTTTCATGATTAAGAGTGAAGGTCAAAATGCTGATTGGGAGCTGAGAATGAGTGAGGCTTTTTGATTTTGAGCTTGGCTATACAGAGGTCTGGAGGTACTGACTGTTAGGGAACCTGTTTGGTGGTCTTTGCTCTTGGACTGGCTGGATTTCTAGAATGCATTTCTCTGTTCTTCATCCTAGAGGGGCAGGGTCTGGCTGCTGAATCTCTGAATGGGACGAATAAGTTTCTCTGCAATCAGCTTTCATGGTAGACATCATTGTTTGGCCCTCCTCCCTTCCTCCATGTTTTTGGTATGGTGCTCACACCCTCAAGTTTGCTGAAATGATAAACCTCTAATCCTAGGACCTGTTTCCAGCTCTGTAGAGAACAAATCTCCAGTGGGTAGAGAGATACTTGCCCAGCTTGTGTGTGTGTGTGTGTGTGTGTGTGTGTGTGTGTGTGTGTGTGTGTGTGTGTGTGTGTGTGTGTGTGTGTGTGTGTGTGTTGGTGTGGGGGGTGTGAAGTGGGGTGGGGGGATGGTTGGCTCCTGGATCTAACTGCTCCTCAAACAACTTTACCTCAGTCCACCTTTCTTTTTATGTTCTCCTTCACTCGCAATTCCAAGGTTTCTTGGAGCTGCTATTTTCTGAGCTTTTGAGTATTCTGCAGTATAATTTTGGGTGGTCTGGAAAGCAGACAATGAATGGTAACTGGCTTATGAGAAGGGAGAAGCCTAAGTCAGGTGTTAAATAATAAAGCACCTTGGTCAAGTATAGAGCAGTGTTAAACTACATGGTGGTGGTGTTTTTATTTAACTTACAAGTAGACAAAGAACCTGCGGGACATTGCGCAACATATTTTTATGAACATACCACTCCTTTTCTGTGCTTCTTTTGCTCCTGCCTCTTCTCTGCTTTTTCTCCTCTCGTTGGAAAAAGCCCTGGATGGGCTTTTAAGCAGGACAATATTTCAGCTATTTTCTGGATGTAAATGCCTATTGTTTCCTTTTCTTCTTCTTCTTCTTCCTCTTCTTTCCCTCCTCCTCCTCCTTCTCTTTTCTTTTTTTTTTTTGGCTTAAAAGTATAGACAGCATTGTGATTAAGACCCCAGACTTTGGAGTCAGAGTGGCTGAGCGCCTAGCCCATTATCTGTGTGACCTTGAACATTCCTATCCTTTCTCACCTAAAATTGGGATGATAGTAATTTCCTTACAGGGCTGAGAGAAGAATAAATGAGATGTGTGTAAAGAGCCTAGCACAGAGTAAGTGTTCAATAAATATTCAGATTTATTATTATTATTATTATTATTATTTTTAGCTGAGCCATCCTGCCACCTGTTGGCAGCTCAGCGGCTGCTCAGCTTGAGCCGGGAATTGAACCGCTGTTGCTCAGAGCTCAAACTCTTGAGTGAGCTCTTAACCAATGGAGCTACTCAGCTGGCCCCAGATTTATTATTTTGAAAATTATGTCAGTTCTATATATCTTTTAGTTGAAAAATATTGAATAGTTAATGGTACAATAAATATTTTAAGCTCTTTGCACAAAGAGAAAGAAACCATCCACAATCTTCCTCCCCACCACATCTCTTCATGTTTCCATGTGGTTAGAATGTGGGGTGCATGTGGTGGGGGAGTTTGTTAAGATCTGTGAGAGTGATCCTGCAGCTGATCAGAGTCACCCTTGCTGGGCAGTGGGTCCAGCTGAGGTTCTGAGTGGAAGGAGTTGGCTTGGGATGTCTGTCATATTTGAGCTGGTTTGGGACTGACTGGAAAGGGGTTAGACCCGGACCTAAGTGCCTGGGTGCATTTCAGGCCCTTTGGGGAAGGGGTTGGCAGTCTATGGCCCAGGCCAGGTGGAAGAGGTAAACATAGGCCGGAGCAGGGAAGGATGGCCTGGGTACTGACAGAGGGCCTGGAGTGTTCTTCAGGATGACTGCTGGACATCTCAAATGGAGCATTTGTTCCCTAATGGAACTGTCAGGGGAGAGCACGAAGAGTATGACTGTTACTGACACGGAGATATGGAGGGACATGAGAGTGAATGCCGTCAACAGGGATTGGCTGATTAAGAGGGAGTGCTCAAACTCTCTTGGAACTCATGGCATCATGCTGGTGGAGCTCAGCAATCTAATGGAGGAACCTGACCTCTCCCATCCCAGCAACTGCTAAAGACTGAGTGTGTGAGTCCTCGTGTGAACACGAGGACTTGGTCTGCCCAGAGCCAGAGGCCTTCCTTCTGGTTCAGCCATTGTGCATATCTGTGGGGTTCCCCTGGATGCTGGCCCAGAGACTTATCTCCTCCTCTGTCCCTTCTGGGCAGCAAAGTTACCATGGTTACGGGTACAGATTGTGCTAGAGACCTTCTCTGGAGGGAGATCAAGCCAGAATCCCGCAGGATTACCCTGTAGTCACTGAGCAGTCAGCCCGAGGAGGTGGAAGAGCTCTGGTTTCAGGATCACACAGATGGGGGTTGTGGTTGTGGTCCTGGCCCCGTCACCCTCTAGCTGTGTGTCCTTGGGCAAGCTGCATAGCCATTTTGAGCCTGCAAAATGGAAATAGGCTGTGCCAGGCACTGGGCTCAGCACTTCTTTTGTATTAACTCACTGAAGCTCCGTAATAAGACTTTTGAGGCTGAACTCTTTTCCCCATTTTACAGATGAGGAAATGTAGGCACAGGGAAGAAAAATAACTTGCCCCAGGTCACAGAAGTTCCTGGCACTTGGAGGGTGCTCAGTAGAGTGTAATCCCACTCTCCCTAGCTATTTCACAATTCTAGAATGCCAGAGTAGGACTGGACCTTAGGAGTATCTCGTTTAACCTGTTATACAAGTGAAGAGGCTGAGGCCCTGAAAAGATGGTAAATTTCCTACAATTAACTTAGCCTACTGAGGTCAAGTTGAAAGTAGCACCAGGTCCCTTTACTGCAAACCCAGGTGTTCCCCTTTCCTCCAGGCCTCCCCCATTCTGTCAGACTCTCTTGGAAAGAAATGCGTGTGTGAGGAGGCAGGACTAGGGAGAGGGGGACAGGCCATGGGGAAGCCATTGGCTTCTGGTAGGCAGGGAAGGGCACCTCCTTGGTGAGGGGTGGGCCTTCTGGGTGGGGAGTGGCAGCCAGTGGCCGCCCCATAAAAGGATAATTTCCTTTGTGCTCTCCCCACTGTGGCTTCAGGAGTATCTGAAGGGCCTGTGCAGCCCGGAGCTATGGAAGGAGGTCCGCTACCCACCTGCCCTGCACTGTGCCTTCCTTGGGGCCCAGGGCCTCTTCCTCGACTGCCTCTGCTGGAGCACTCTGGCCTACCTGGTGCCTGGCCCCCCTGGCTCCCTGATGGTGGGTGGGCTGACTGAGTCTTTCATCATGACCCAGAACTGGCTGGAGGAGCTGGTGGGACGGCTGCGCTGGGGCCCTGCCCCTCTGCTCACCCCCCGGGGGATCTGGGAGGCTGAGGTGACCCGGGCCTTTGGGGCTTTGGTCTGGATCCGTGGTGATCAGTATGCAGGAGACCTGCTGCAGCTGCCCCCAGCGGTCCAGGAGCTGCTGCTGAGCTTGGTGCGGGACGCTGCTGGCAAGGAGGACATCATTGAGTGGCTCAGCCGCATCGGCACCTCCAACGCCCGCTCTGATCCGGAGGTCATGATCTGCCCACCTCACCAGCGGAAGGAAGGCCCTGCCATGATGTCCGTGGGAGATGGTTCTGGTCCCTTCCTGGAGATGAAGACCCTCCAGAATGGGAGCACAGAAAATTCAAAGAAATTAACCAGCCTGGGAGCCACCCCAGGTCAGAATGCACAGCAGGAGACAGCAAACCAACTGGTACGGTAAGTTCTGGGGAGTCAGTCTAGCTTCTCTGCCCCTACCTCTGCTCCCCCACCCCAAGGAAAGTGTTTGGGACCTATATGACTGCCTCACCTTTCCAACAAACTCGGTCTTCCTCCAGGGTCGGTTCCAACAACCAAGGTGGTATGGACAGTGCTCGCAAGGAAGGGCCAGTGCCAGGAGCCAGCAACCAGGACTCTGTGAACCACTCACAAACCCTATCACAGCAGAGGCAGGTCCAGAGGATGGAAGACAAACTCCCCTTCCCGCCTCCAGTGTCAGCCCTGGGCGTGTGCCCCCCCTGGAAGGCCTGGGCCCCGGGGCCAGCCTTTGGGCCCTTGTGGCCGGGGGCTATTGCTGCAACCTTCTGGAGGATCAATGAACTGCATTCCCTCCACCTGGCCTGGCTGCTGTCCCAGGCGTGCTTCAGTTTCCCCTTCTGGCAGAGGCCGCTGGGCCCCATTCAGTTCAAACTGCCAGGGCAGAGTCCTTTGCCCTTAAACCTCGAGTGGAAGCAGAAGGAGCTGGTTCCTTTGCCTAGTGTGGAAAGCCCAGATTGTAGACCAGATGGAGGGCCGGGAGGAGAGGCAACCCTACAGAATTGCCCAAGGCCAGAGACCCCCAAAAAAGTCATGAGTTTATTGGTGGTCTCAGGGGGCTCGGGTATAAAGGACAAGGCTAGCCCAGAACTTCCACAGATAGGGCCACCTTTGACCTCTACACACCAACTCCAAGCTGGAAGTGAGCTGGGTGATCACGGAAATGTGCAGTGGGATTGTAAGGGGCCAGAAGAGAGGCCCTTTCCAGCACTGTCCACAGGTCAAGGGGTGCGTACAGCTCAAGGGACGCCTGTGGCTCAACGGGGGCTAACGGCCCAGTCAATACCTGATGCTCAAACAGTGCCTGAAACTCTTGAAGTGCCCATGGCTTCAGCAGTGCCCACAACTCAAACCTCACCCACAAACCAAGTGCTGTCTGCAGCCCCCAAAGTGCCTACAACTCAAATGATGCCAGCAGTCCACACAGAACCTGCAGCTCCCAAAGTGCCTTTGGCTCCAACAAAGCCTGCAGCTCAAGTGGTGCCCACAGCTCAAAAGGCAGCCGTGGGTCAACTGGCATCGGCAGCTCACACGGTGCCTGCAACTCAGAAAATTCCCACAGCTCAGAAAATGCCTGCAGCTAAAACATCACCTGCAGGCCCCAAAACTCCCAAAGGTCAAACTGGGCCTGCAACTAAAACAGGGTCCGCAGCTCCCAAAGCACCTGCAGCCCCCAAAGCCTCCAGAGCTCCAAAAACGCCTGCAGCTCAGAAGGCGCCCACAGATCCAGCCCCAGCCTTGGATGCAGCCAAACTCCTGAGTGAGGTTCAACCTCTGTCAAGGGGCAGTGCCTCCTCCCTGAAGGGCCAGGGAGAGGCCAGGAGGCAGGGTCCCCAGTTCAGCAGCACCTTGGCTCCTAGTAGTAAGCACCAACCTCAGGTGAGCGGACTCCTAGGGGCTTGGGAGGGGGCCCCGAGGCAGCCACCTCGACAACCACAGGCGAACAACACAGTGACCAGCTTCCAGAGGTACCATGAGGCCCTCAATACACCCTTTGAGCTGAACCTGTCAGGAGAACCAGGGAACCAGGGGCTGCGGCGAGTGGTCATTGACGGCAGCAGCGTGGCCATGGTGTGAGTAGCCACGGGTATGGGGTAAGCTGGGCATGCTGGGGTGTCCCCGGGGGGACAGAGTGTGGGCATCCCTTCTTGACCTCTGTATGTGGGTGATGTGGGGTTCAAATGGGACAAACATGGGAGGGGAAGTGGCCCATGTTGAGTGGGTACTGCGTACCAGGCAGTGTGCATATAATCATCACAATAACCCTGCAAATGTAGGTTCCTGTTCTTTGACGGAAGCAGAAACAGGCTCAGAGAGGTGACAAATCTTGCCCAAGTTCCCAGAGCCAGTAAGGGTTCCAGATGGCCTTTGGGTTCAGATCTATCCCCTGACAAGACCCACTCTTTTTCCACTGCAGTCTGCCTCATATAGCATGGCGTCAGATAACCCCAGGCCTTTCCAATGTTTAGCCCGACCCTTAAGTCCCAGTGCAGACCTCCTCTATGAAGCTTTTCCTGACCAACCCTGAGACATCGCCCTTCCTCCACAGCACTTACTGCTGTGTATGTGTTAGCATAAATATATGCAAGACCACTTAATTTGCCCGCACGGTAGAGTAGTACCTGTGTTGAGCCCACTCCCAGCACACAGTAGGTGGTCAGTGAATGTTTGTTTGCTTCCAGCTCTAACTTGAACTCTTTGGGCATAGAGGTTGCCTTCTTCCTCCTCTTGCCCTGGGGGCCTCACATACATGCGCGCCTTCTCTCTCTCTCTCTCTCTCTCTCTCTCTCTCTCTCTCTCTCTCTCACACACACACACACACACACACACACACACACACACACACAGTAGGTGAATTCAGCCAATAGGTGCTCACAGAATGTCTGATGATGGAGGGAAGGGAGAAGGGCATTGTTGGTGCCTGAGTGCTGATGCTGGTGCCCTGGCCTTGCTCACTGTGCTGCCCGGTTGGCTCTAAGGGAGGGGTGGAGAGGCAGGGCCATTCCACATGCAGGGAGTTGCTCCCTCACTTCCCACCACCCCCACAGGCATGGCCTCCAGCACTTCTTCTCTTGTCGTGGCATTGCTATGGCCGTGCAGTATTTCTGGAACCGGGGACACCGAGAGGTCACTGTGTTTGTACCCACCTGGCAGCTGAAGAAGAACCGGAGGGTGAGAGGTGAGCTGTCCACTGCCCCCCGGCCCCTCCAGCATCACCAAGCTTTTCCTTTCCTTGCCTCCCTGTCCCCACCGTGGCCTTTTCCACTTAACCCTTCCTGAGACCATCTCTGTCTTCTGCCTTTCACCTCCAGAGAGTCACTTCCTGACGAAGCTACACTCCCTCAAGATGCTTTCAATCACCCCCTCCCAGCTTGAGAATGGCAAGAAGATCACCACCTATGATTACAGGTGTGCCAGTCCCCAGGCCTTCTCTCTGCGGGGCTCCGGAGTCTGGACTGGTGTGTCAGGTGGAGTCCTGGCTTATCTGCCCTGGGAGATGGAGGCAGACATGTTTGAGTGGTTCATGTGAGAGAGGATGGTGCATGGCCCTCTGTAGGCAGAGAGAGGGACACAGTGAGGAGAGGGCTTCAAGGATGGCTCTACCTGAGCCAAGAGGCGTTCCTGATTTGGGGACTTTGCAACTTCATTTCCCTTCGTTAAAAGACTTTCTTTTCTCATGACCTATGGGCTGAGACCTGCTGCTTTGGATAGGACTAAGCCAGGTGACTCCTGGTGTTTTGAGTGAGCTGCTTCCCTAAGCAGATGGTTTTGGGTGCCAGTTTGGGTTGAAGTTCATGTCTCAAGGAGCTGCTTCAGTCTCTCTCTTCCCCAGCCCTGGTATGGGAGGAGGTATGTGTGCAGCTGTATGTGGCTGGAGCTCTGGCTGGGCTCTGAAAATGGTTAGGCTGGCCCCATCTCCTAGTGAAAGCCCAAATGCCTCCCCATTTGTCAATCCTAAGCACCCAGTCCCCAACATGGCTGCACAACCAGTGTGCACAGGGGGAGTCTGTGATGCTGCCTCTGTTGGGGCAGGGAAGGCCCTGCTGTAGTCACCCGGGCTAGAGTCCACGCTGGGCAGAGACAGGTCTTGGCTTCACTTAGGTACCTACCATGCCAGGCAGGGAGAAGTCGTGTTCCTCCCCACTATTTCCCAAACCTGGCACTGCCTAGGCCTTCAGGCCTGGGAAGGGCTGGGCAGGGCAGCTCAGGCATCTCTCCTTCAAGAGCAAGCCCCCTGGGTGAGGCTGTGAAGTGCCTGTAGGTTCTTGCCTGTGTTGGAGGGAAAATGGCTTTTCTAAAGAAGGCGCCCTCTACTGGTCACTAATGGACTAGCAGGCTTGGGGCCGCCAGAACGGCAGTCTTCAGGGAAGGCTGAGAAGTAGGTGGCCCTTGCTTTCTTTCCTGGTCACAGCCCTCTCCCCAGGAGAAGTGATCCTTTGAAAATGGGTTTGTTTATTCAGGTATGTGTTTTTATATGTGTCTATATGCATACATGTAGTATATGTATGTATGTGTTTCTCGGCATGTGCATGAATGCTGTGCATTGGTGAAAAATAATAACGGAAAATTTGTGTGTATGCTGTGTGGCAGGCACTGAGGTAGGCACTTCAATGTGCTGTTATTCAGTTTAGTCCTGATAGCAATATAGGGTAGGTACTTTATGTTTTAAAGATGTGGAAACTGAAGCAGTATAAATGCATGTGTGTGTGTGGACCAGTGTGTGTGTGTGTGTGTGTGTGTGTGTGTGTGTGTGTGTGAATGCCTATGTGTAAAATAAGGGTCTGTGTTTGTATATGCAGTTGAGGGGTGTGCATCCCAGTTCACCCTCCTAGGTACTGGTGGTCATGCCAGATGGCTGCATAGGCGAGGGGAGCCCTGGCTTCCTACTACGAAGGGCAGTTTCTGTCCAACACACCTGCAAGAGAAACTGCAAGTCCATTTTCCCAAAGGACTGGGGAAAGGAGAGGCCGGTTACTGGGTCATTAGTGACCCCCCCTCTCCTTGCAGGTTCATGGTAAAGCTGGCGGAGGAGACAGATGGCATCATCGTCACCAATGAGCAGCTCCACATCCTGATGAATAATTCCAAGAAACTGATGGTCAAAGATCGGTGAGGCAGCTCAGAGGGGGTTGGGCTGTTCCTTCCCCTTGGATGTCAGGCAGCCCCTGGCAGGGGGAGGGGCGTTGGGGCAGTGCCCACCAGCATCTGCTGCGTCTCCACCCCTTGTGGAGATGCCCAGGCAGCAATGGGGCGTGGGTGGGTCAAGGGCTCCTCTATGACTGTGTCTCCTCTCTCTTGGGTCCAGCCTGCTGCCCTTCACCTTTGCGGGGAATCTCTTCATGGTGCCTGACGACCCCCTGGGCCGCGATGGCCCCACTCTGGATGAGTTTCTGAGGAAGCCAAATAGGTAATGGGCCTCTCCTGCCTCCCAGCCCCTCCTGGGACTGCCAGAAACTTCTCCTAAGTGCTAGCTAGCATTTGTCTAGTGCTTAATAGTGAGCAGAATGATTTGACTTTTTCACACCTTTACACTTCTACCACTTATTCATGCATCTATAAACCACGTACAGTGTGGTTTTGCAGTTTTTCAATTTTGCACAATGCTTTAATACTATATGTATCCTTCCACAATTTGTACTCAACTTTTTATTGTTTTTTCCAGATGTTAATTCATGTGGCTCTCTTTAATGACCGTGTGGTATTCCATTACATGAGTACTCAACAGTTATCAGAACTCTTGTGGAGGGCCACTGATGGTTTCAGGGTTATGCTGTTGGAGCAAGGCAGTGAACAGCCTTGTTCTTGTTTCATTGTGTACAAGAGCAGCTGTTTCTAGAGTATATGCCAAGTAGAATTTTTTCCACATTTGTTATCCCCTTTGGTCTTCACAACTTGAGTTAGAAATACATGACCACTGTCTTCATTCTACAGATGAGGAATCTGAGACTCAAGTACTTTCCCAAGGTCACTTCGCTGGTGCCCGCAGGACTGGTTTGCAGTAACTCAGATCATCTGGCCTCTGCCCTCTCCGAGCCACCTTGCTCCCTATCTCCCAGTTCCCTGAGCCCACCAGGGGACTGGTGGACCTTCTGGGCAGGATACTGCTTCCTGGGCCAGGTCCCCCTAGTGCCATTTTCCTGGTTTGGAAAAAAAAGTGATGTAGAGGAGGTTTGTCTGCTGTGTCCTCCCAAGTCCCTTGTCAGGCCTCCTTCCTTCTCTTGACCTCTCCCTGGCTTGCTTATCCTGGTGTCAGGTTGGGAGCATCAGTTGTCTAATTCTTATCAAATGTTGGCTTGAAACTGGTTGAAAATGTCACTTGGTCAATGAGATTTTGATTGGCCAAGTCTTCAAAGCACAGTGAAATCTCTAATATTGAGGCCCAGCCCACGGTAGAGGTATAGGGAGCATCTGAGGGCAGGGTCCTGACTGAGACTCTGCCATGTTGGAGGCTGGCACTTGGCCCAGCCTCAGGGTTGCTGAGCAATGGGGTGGGTTCTGCAGGATTTCCACAGGTTTTATTTTCCCCTTGGACGACCTCTCATGTGGACTGTCTCCTTCCTTCCTCCATCGGACCTCTCCACTCTGCTGTTTTGGTGCAGGTTGGACACTGACATTGGCAACTTCCTGAAGGTGTGGAAGACGCTTCCTCCCAGCTCAGCCAGCATCTCTGAACTGAATGATGCCACTGACCCAGGGCCCTTGGAGAGGCCTCAGAAAGTAGAAGTCAGGGAGGAGAAGAAGGAGAGGCATGATGAAGAGCCAATGGAGAGGCAGGACGAGGAGCAGAGGGAGGGGCAAGGCACACAGAGGCCAGCCGAGGAAGAGGACCTGGACTCCTCGCTGGTGTCGGTGTTTAGGGCTGAGTGCCCTTCCCTTTCCGAGGAAATTCTCCGGTGCCTCAGCCTCCAGGACCCCCCTGATGGGGCCCTAGACATTGACCTCGTACCGGCCGTGGCTTCTCCCTCCCTGGGCATCCCCTGGGATGGGAAGGCTCCCTGCCAGCAGGTTCTTACTCACCTGGCCCAGATGACCATCCCCAGCAACTTCACTGCGCTCTCCTTCTTCGTGGGGTTCATGGACTCCCACCGGGATGTCATTCCCGACTATGAAGCCCTCGTGGGCCCCTTGCATAGCCTCCTCAAGCAGAAGCCAGACTGGCAGTGGGACCAGGAGCACGAGAAGGCCTTCTTGTCCCTGAAGCGAGCCCTGGTGTCTGCCCTCTGCCTGACGGCCCCCAACTCCCAGCTGCCCTTCCGTATGGAGGTGATGGTGAGCCAAGTGGCCTTGACGGCCATTGTCTACCAGGAGCACTCAGGGAGGAAGCACACCATCGCTTATACCTCGAAACCCCTCCTCCCCGATGAGGAGAGCGAGGGCCCCCAGTCAGGGGGAGACAGCCCCTATGCTGTGGCCTGGGCCCTCAAGCATTTTGCCCGCTGCATTGGAGACACCCCAGTGGTCCTGGACCTTTCCTACGCTGCCCGGACCACTGTGGACCCTGAGGCACGGGAGGGCCGCAGGGTTTCCAAAGCATGGTTGATCCGATGGTCCCTCTTAGTACAGGATAGAGGCAAGAGGGCCCTGGAGTTGACCCTTCTCCAGGGTTTGCTGGGGGAAAACCGACTGCTGACGCCCGCATCCTCCATGCCTCGTTTCTTCCAGGTTCTGCCTCCTTTTTCCGACCTGTCTACTTTTGTCTGTATCCACATGTCGGGCTATTGCTTTTACCGTGAGGATGAGTGGTGTGCTGGCTTTGGTCTCTATGTCCTGTCTCCCACCAGTCCCCCTGTGTCCCTTTCCTTCTCTTGCTCGCCTTACACACCAACCTATGCCCACCTGGCTGCCGTGGCCTGTGGCCTGGAGCGCTTCGGCCAGTCCCACCTCCCAGTGGTTTTCCTTACGCACTGCAACTGGGTCTTCAGCCTCCTCTGGGAGCTCCTGCCCCTGTGGAAGGCTCGGGGCTTCCTGTCCTCCGATGGGACCCCGCTACCTCACCCGAGCCTGCTCTCCTACATCATATCCCTTACCTCCGGCCTCTCATCCCTTCCATTTATCTACCGAACCTCCTACCGTGGCTCCCTGTTTGCTGTGACGGTGGACACCCTGGCCAAGCAGGGTGCACAGGGGGGCGGGCAGTGGTGGAATTTGCCAACGGATGTGCCAGTCCCTGTAGTGTCTCCCCATAACATGGGCAAGAGGCCCGACTTGCTGGCATTGCAGCTGAGCGACAGCACCCTGGCGGATATCATTGCCAAGCTGCAGGCCGGGCAGAAACTGTCAGGCTCCTCACCCTTCAGTTCTGTTTTTAACTCACTCAGCCTGGACAAGGATAGCGGCCTGCTTCTGTTTAAGGGGGAGAAGAAGCCCAAGGTCTGGGTAGTCCCCAGGCAACTCCGGAGGGATCTGATTTTCTCTGTGCATGATCTCCCTGTGGGGGCTCACCAGAGGCCCGAGGAAACCTATAAGAAGTTGCGGTTGCTGGGGTGGTGGCCTGGGATGCAGGAACATGTCAGAGATTACTGTAGGAGCTGCTTATTCTGCATCCCCCGAAATCTCCTAGGCAGTGAGTTGAAGGTTATTGAATCCCTGTGGCCCCTCAGGTCGACTGCCCCCTGGTCGAACCTGCAGATCGAGGTGGTGGGCCCAGTCACCATAAGTGAGGAGGGCCACAAGCATGTGTTGATTGTGGCTGACCCCAATACCAGGTGGGTAGAGGCGTTCCCGCTGAAGCCCTACACGCACACGGCTGTGGCCCAGGTGCTACTTCAGCATGTGTTTGCAAGGTGGGGTGTTCCCGTGAGGCTGGAGGCCGCCCAGGGCCCCCAGTTTGCCCGGCATGTCCTGGTGAGCTGTGGGCTGGCCCTAGGAGCCCAGACGGCCTCCTTGAGTAGGGACCTCCAGTTTCCCTGCCTGACAAGCTCAGGGGCCTACTGGGAATTCAAGAGGGCCCTCAAGGAGTTCATTTTCCTGCACGGTAAGAGGTGGGCTGCTTCCCTGCCCTTGCTGCACCTGGCCTTCAGGGCCTCCTCCACCCAGGCCACACCGTTCCAGATCCTGACAGGGGGTGAGGTAAGGCTGAGTGAGCCCCTGTGGTGGGAGATGAGCAGCGCAAATATCGAAGGGCTCAAGATGGATGTCTTCCTGCTGCAGCTGATGCGGGAGCTGCTGGAGCTCCACTGGAGGGTGGCTGACAAGGTCAGTGAAAAGGCAGAGAACAGGCGTTTCAAGCGGGAGAGCCAGGAGAAGGAGTGGAATGTGGGTGACCAGGTCCTCTTGCTGTCCCTCCCCAGGAATGGCAGCAGTGCCAAATGGGTGGGCCCCTTCTACATTGGGGACCGGCTGAGCCTGTCTCTCTACAGGGTCTGGGGCTTCCCAACCCCAGAGAAGCTCGGGTGCATCTACCCTAGCAGTCTGATGAAGTCCTTTGCCAAGAGTGGCACCCCCCTGTCCTTCAAGGTCTTAGAGCAGTGAGCTGGAGCAGTGGGTGAGCCCCTGCCCCTGAGGTCCTGGGCTGCTGCTGCTAGGCCTCTCACAGCCCCTGGGGGCCTCCGTTGTGCCTTTTGTAGAGAAGTTACTTCATAAAGCTTTGCTGAATTGCCTTGAACTGGGGACCAGCATCCCTAGGGAAACGTCCCCAATTTGGGGGTATTGGAAGAATCTGCCAAAGGCTGTCAGGTATGGGCCTCTGGCAGTTTCACCTGGGGAGTGCCAAGCCCCCTTACTGAGTTAGGCCGGGCTCAATGTCTTTCCCCCAGTAGCCCCTTCATCCTGTCACACACGTGCAGGCGTATACACACAGACATGTACACACACACCCAGAATCTGACTCCTGGCTACCTAACCATGAAACAGTGTGGCTTGGGACCTCAGAACCAGAACCACACTCCCCTCAAACAGAAACCTCAGATGTAGACTCCTCTCCCCGGACCTGTTCATTTGGGGACCCTTTCCCCTGGAAGCTGACAGAGCTGATGCAAATCTGTGGAGTGGCAGTCTGTTCCCAGTGTCATGGCCAGCTTTTATAGGCCAGGCTAGGCCTGCCCAGCTGTCAAGGAAGAGCTGGCAGCCCTGGGCCCTGAGGCTCAGAGCTGGGGTTGAAGGATGGCCAACCACAAATGAGCATCCCGCTTGTCAACAAGGAAAAGCAAGGGGGAGACTGAGTCAGCCTACCTCATTTGACTCCAGCCAATGGAGACAACCCTGACCCCTGCTGCGATGGTACAAACCCCACAGGAATCAAGGATCTTGATGCCAAGTGTGGCATTTCTACCTGAAGAGCTGCTTCAACTAGACCAAGGGGCCCAGGCCTCTATTTCAAGTGGGGAGGGTGTCTGAAATGAGCAGTCTGGCACACGGTGAGGTGTTGGCATGGCTCTACCTCCCTACACCACCCCAAAGCCCACAGCCTTCTCCTCCCACCTCCATGGCACCCTGCATTCCCCAGTTCCTACATAGTGAGTGACTGCTGTGGTTGGATCACCTCCCATCCCCTGGACCTGCCTTTTGTGTAGAGCAAAACCTGGGCTCCCTCAAAGCACTCTGCAATGATCACTCTTGCAGCAAGAGTGAGTTCTCAGGTGTGTGCGCTTATACTCAACCTCACCCTCTGCATTGCTGCTGCCACAGACAGAATGAACTCCAGTGAAGGCCAGCACCCTATCCCTCTGCCTGGGCCTATGAGTAGTTTTATCTCTCTAAAGCTGAGCCAGTCTCCTGGCCTAGCTCAGGTTGCCAACATACTTGGCATTGCTAGAGTCAAGAGTAGAACCTGCCATAGAGTTGAATTTGCTTGTTTTACAACCAAGGAAAGGCCCAGAGGGGAAATGACTTGCCCAAAGTCACAGCTAGTTCGTGGCTGAGCTGGGACCAAGATTAAGTTTCTTGACTCCGTTCGCCACAGACAGGGTTCTGGGGACAGGTTCAAAGGAGAGAATCCCTCAAAATCCTGTACCCATATTCCCTCCAACTCCCCATCTCCCATCTCTTGTAGGCAAACTACTAGATGTTGCCCTTAAACTATTCCCAGCTGTTAGTTCTGTCCAGGAAAGAATGATTGGGTGACATGAGAAACTGAAAGCTGAGCTGTGGGATTTATAGTGGATACCTTCTCTCCTCTCCCTACTTCCCTCCCCACCTCTCTTCCTCCTCCTCCCTCTAACGGTATGGCCAACCTCATTCTCCCTCCCAGTGCTATACCTATCCCCCCTGTTAACCACATTTATGATCTTTTACCCTTTTACATGACTTTTATTTTTCATTTGATGTATCAATAAACAGATCAAAATGGAGCTGAGGTCCAATTCTTTTTTAGCTTCAATTAAGGGAGTGAGGAAGGTGGGGGGCCACCATGGGGTATGACTGCTCCATGTTTCCCAGGCCGACTTGCAGATTTGAAGACCTGGATGGCACCTTTTCAACTTCACCTGACGCAACCTCTTATTTTACAGATGAGACTGGCAACCAGGTAGTGATCTGCAGACCCCACAACTGGTTCATGGCAGGGCTGGGAGGAGAGCGCGGGCTGTAGCTTCCATGCTAGTGCTCTTCCCAGTTTATTTCTTGAAGATGGGCAGGGTGGGAAGATGAATGAAGGCTGGCATAAGAACATGGCATCAGAGCTGAATCAATTGCATTAGAAACAAGCTAGAACTGGGTTTGAATACTGAGTATATCTGCTACCTAGGTGACCTGTTTCCTGAAACCTCAGTTTCCCCATCTATCAAATGCAAGGTAACAATTCCTAAATTATAGATGGTTCAAAGAATATATGAAATAATCTGTGTGAAGAGGCTACTGTGGTGCCAGGTATAGAGTAAGCATTTGTCACTGTTGTGGACTGCATATTTGTGCTCCCTAAAATTCATATGTTGAAACCCTAACCCCTAGTGGGATGGTATTAGGAGGTGGGGCCTTTGGGACATAATTAGGTTATGAGAGTGGAGCCCCCATGATGGGGTCAGGGTCCTTAGAAGAGGAGAGAGAGATTAGAGCTTGTTCTCACTATCCACCTCCTGAGGATACAATGAGAAGATGGCCATCTGCAAGGGAGGAAACGGGCTCTCACCAGACACTTGATTTGCTAGCACCTTGATCTTGAATGTCCAGCCTCCAGAACTGTGAGAAATGAATTTCTGTTGTTTAAGCCACCCAGTCTTTGGTGTTTTTGTTATAGCAGCCCGAACTGACTAAGACAATCACATGCTAGCTAACATTTCTCTCCTTCCTGTCCCTAGAACTCTTGCTGTTACCGCCCCTCAGGCTCAGAGACTCACCTAACCCAGCCCACGCTTCCTGACTTCAGCTCTGCCTTTTGCTGCTGTTCTCACCGGCCCAAACTTCTGTTCAGCACTGTTCAGGGTATGAAGTGGCAGGAAGGCTCTATCCTTCCTGAGACATCCCCAGCTCATGTGTACATTGCCTTTCAGTATTTATAGAGCACCTACTGTGTGCCAGATGCCGACTAGGTGTGGGTGGATAGCACGCACTATGAGTGACAGGGGTCTCTGCCCCCTTTGGAACTCACAGTCAGTGAGGAAGGCAATTCAACAAACACAGTTCAGGGTGGTAAGGGAAGGAGTGTGGCATAGAAGCCCATGGCACAGCAGCCCGGTGTCTCAGCTCACAACTTATTCAGAGAGATCTTCATCTTCCCCAACCCCCTTCACCAAGAATAACATACATGCCCTAGGTCAGTGAGTGAAGGGTTCAGAATTCCTAAGTGGAAGACTGATCAGGAAGATGGCTCAGCAAATTCTCGTTAGTTTTACTCAAGATACTTTAAGCAATAATCAGATTTTACCCAGATTAGCCTATGAGCCCTCTGATGGTGAGATTTCCCTTCTTCACTGTTGAACAATTTATAAGGTCTGTGCAAAGATTGGAGACTCTTCCTACTTGAAGGAGTGAATAAAAAAGATTTGTCCACAGCTGAGCACCAGGGGCACCGGAGACTAGTAGAGACTAGGAGACTAGCTTCTGATGTTTATACCCTTCACGATTTTTCCTTATCCTTGGGGGCACTGGCAGGTGGATTTCTCCAAGCCTCTAACAGAGAAATTACCGAGTCGCCAGTTTGCAGACAGTCCCATGACATATTCACACTATAAAGATAAAGAACATCCTGCATGGTGTCAGTTCTCATGTTAAAATGTACATAAAGTATGCGGTGAGATTAGGACCCCTTAAGCCTTGCTGTACCACATTTTCCTAGCAACCATTTACTAAATCTTGTGTTCATGGATACAAGTGAACACACCTGAAAGAAGCATTATAACAGGTAAATGGCCACAATAAAACAAAACAAAAACCCTACCAGCTTTTTAAAGATTGTCTAAGAATCCTTGGGACATGAAAAACTTTTTACTTGCTTACTAATTTATACGGTAACAGTAACTTACATATATTAAATACTTGCTCTGTGTCAGGTACTGTTCTAAGTGCTTTCCAACCCTGTTGGGGCAGATACAATTATTCTCTCCATTGTATAGATGAAGAAAATGAGATACAGAGAGGAGAATTACCTTGTGAATTACTAAGTGAGAGGCTTCTGTGCTCACCACCTTAACCACTATGCTCACTGCCTCTCATGCAAGCATATTAACTTTGTTCCCACAATTACTTTTCCTGGCCCTTAATCTACGGCCTCTCCATCTTTTATTAATATATAGTGTCAGTAAGATTTCTCCATTTCAGTTTGGCTCAGATTAAGATGATTGATAACTAAAACAGGTCCTGATTTACCTCTGTTGGGTCCACAAATGATTCCCTTGGCCCTGGTTAGTTTTGACTTGAATGCCGTACTCTCTTTTTCCAAGAGGTGCCTCAGCTAAAATATAGTGCTATTTTATAATTTTCCCACATTCCTGTAGATGGTGAAAACTGAAGTGGGGAGATTTGCTGCAGCTGGATTG